ACTAAAATATTCTTTTAATTTCGGTCCAGTTTTCTAGATACACCAACTGCATAAATAACTTCGTAATCCCATATGAATATATAGAATTACAAAGTTAAATTTGCAGTGAATGAATAAGTGTACTTGTATCTGTATAATAGGTGTAGATTGTTGTTGGTATTCAAGAAATAGAAGGTACCGGAAAGTAAAAAAGAAGGACTATCTTATCTACAAAAAGAAGTGAGATGCCATCAAAAACATAACTTGTAAAAAAAGTCTCGCAACTCAGTTCTTCTACCGTAAAAAGTTGTGAGATCCATCTAGTACCAAGTCGGTTAATTTATTCAGTCCCCACTTAAGGGTCCTTCCGTTTTAAGTTATTACGAAATTAGCTAACTTAATAACCGTACCAATGTTACAATCTTATATGTTTTAAATATATAGATTGACTTGGCAATCGCACTAAGCAATCTAATTTAATACAATATGTATTACTTGTGAGATACATCGTGTTTTCTTGCTAACTAAATAAGCTATGAAACCCCCGTGGCCAATCAATATTTGCGCCCCTAACATTATTTATTTTCATTTTCTCCATTGCTCTATATGCTTCTGCTACTCTAGGGAAGAATTTTCTAGTGACAGTTCCAGTATCCGATGCGTTGTATCGTTCCTGCAAGATTGTTATGGTTTTGCCCTTGATTGAACGCTTTGCAAATCACAGAGGAACACAGTCACAGAACAACAGTCGTAACTTGAACTTTATTTAAGCGTTTCTGCTGCCAACTTTTCCGGTTCGTCGACCGTCTTATTTTCGGCTATACCTTCGTGTGCCTCAATCCAGTAAAATATTACTTCCCGTCCTTTTTCCCTTATTTCTTTTATGCTTTCTCGTATTTCTGCTACTTATGGGATTAAGCGTATTAGGATTTGAAAGACAATCTAGAGCTGATCTGGAATCGCTTAGTATATTTGCTTGTTTAAATTTTATTATTCCATTTCATGATTTTTGTAGCTTTAAATATTGCTGAGAATTTAGCCTGATACACACTGCAATAACTCTCCAGTTTTATCCTTGACTTATGAACTTCTTTGTCATCTATCCAACACGTTACTGTTGCGCCAACTTTTCCTGATATTTTACTGGCATCGGTGTAGATTTTTGGCCAGTTATTATCTATTTTATCGACGTTATCTCATGTTGATACCGCAGTATGGTAACTGCAGTTACATTTCTCTCGGTCGCCTCCAACGGCACTCACTTGATGGTATGAGGTAATGGATTCTCTTACGATGGCACTAAAAGGCTCGGGTCTTATTAATCGCATTAGAAACTGCAACAAACAAGAGCTAAGTTATAATCAGAAAACTTAAAATTTGATTATTTTTACAAGAACATTTAATTTTTTGTTTTCGACGCTTCGGGTGCTTTACAGTAGGTAACTTTATTTAAACTTTATAGTACCTTCACTCAGAGACTCACGGGAGTCACATTTGGGAGATTATATTAAAATTAAGTGCGATAAAATAAAAATAAAAACAGTTTTATTAAAAAAATGAGTTTCTTTTTTTGAGTATTCACTTAATTTACCATCTCCTGTGTAGTTGTTCACGTTCTAATTCGCAAGGAGTAGGTACATCGAAATACAACTCTAACATAATATAAATTTTAGTTATCGGAGCTATATGCCAGTCTAGAGAGATCTAATCTATATATTATTACTTAATTGTGAGGACAAAATAATGTTTGTTACATGTACTAATGCATCATCATCTTAACCATGAAGACTACTGCTAAACAAATACCTCATTAACATATTTCCATATGTGGTAGAGCCACGCTGCAGCTATTTTATTTTATATTTTATTTTATTTTCTTCAGGACAACAAACAATTGTGTAATAAAATATAATACAAAATACAGGTCTTATAAAAAGGGAAATACAAATAATTACACAACCAGCACCGTTATCCACAAAGTAATATCACAATAAAAGTAATATAATAATGCACAGTAAACATGTTGATGAATAATTCGAGCGTTCCCTGAGCAAATCCCAGCCAACACAACCACTGTAGTGGCTATGCTAGGCAAAACTTGCCTCGATAAACAACAGTTGAACCATTAATAAACTGTTTAAACCTTAAGGCAATACCTTACTTAGTAGTAATTTTTTTTAAATACACTTTTTGAACATATGATACATACACTTTTTGATAAAGCAAATATGTCAAGATCAGTAAAGTTATAATTATATGATTTCATGATACGCCGTAGTGGAGCTCTTTCTCACGCGTTTGTTCTTCTGTTATTACGAATGCGTTGGGACCGACTAGGTATGCGTAGATACATTTGATTTATAAGTTGATTACAATCTAATTTAATATGACAGATTTTGTATAAGAATAACTGATCAAAATATAATCTTCTCATTTTTAGAGTGGGAATTGAGAATTTATCTAAACGAGTGAGATACGATGACCATTTTCTAAAGCATTTATAGTTTAAAAACCGAAGATATTTACGCTGTACCAATTCCAGCTGATCACTATATTTTTCATAATAAGGGTTCCAAACGCAAGAGGCGTATTCGAGTTGTGACCTAATGAGTGACTTATATAGTAATAAATACGTCGTAGGCCTTTTAAACAGATTACAGGTCCTTCTTACAAAAGCACTAAGCTGAAAGCCTTTACCCGTAATGTCACTAATATGAGCATCAAAATGTAGCTTCGAGTCAAATAGTATTCCCAGGTCTTTTATTCTGGAGACTTTTTGTAAAGGAGTGTTACAAAGAGAGTATGTGAAATGGATGACATTAATATTTTTATTAAATGTGATAGATTTACATTTTGATAAACTTAGCTGTAAATTATTAGCAGCACAATAAGCAGACAAACGATCCAGGTCACTTTTCAATTTATAACAATCTTCAGTTGTGTTGATTTTCCGAAAAAATTTTAGGTCGTCAGCATACAAGAGAAAATGGGTGTTTTTGAAGCAGGTACTAATATCATTTATGAAGAGAACGAAAAGCAACGGCCCCAAAATTGATCCCTGCGGTACACCAGATGTCACATCTATCACATCTGAAGAAAAGCCATTGACCACAACCTTTTGGGTTCTATTTTTTACATAAGAAGCAAACCAGCGTAACAAATTCCCACGTATACCATTAAATGCGATTTTTTGTAGTAGTATAGTATGGTCTACCTTTTCAAAAGCTTTACAGAAGTCAGTGTAAATGGTGTCAACTTGGAGGCGGTTATCCATTTTTTCAAATAAAAAATTATCGTATGAAGCCAAATTACTTACCGTGGAGCGATTTTGGACAAAACCATGTTGTTCAGGAATAAGAAAACTATGCAGATATGGATAGACAACATTGTGGACCAATCCTTCCAGCACTTTTGACAACGTGGACAAAATAGATATTGGACGATAGTTGGTGATGTAATTTTTTTGGCCATTTTTATACACAGGTGTAATGTTCGCCGATTTCCATGTCTGCGGCACTACTCCCTCCCTCAAACTTTGATTAAATTAAATAAACAATGATGTAGTAATGGATTCGGCAATATATTTTAGAAAAAAGGGAGAGATACCATCTGGTCCAGATCCCTTTATCACGTCCAAGGCTTTAAGAATCTTAGTTATCTCATCTTTTGATAATGTTAAGTCACATATAGTTACTTGACTATTTGAGTTAGAGCTAATTACAACATCATTAGACTGATTTATGTATTTAATATTTTCGTACAGTGAACTAAAAAACCTTGAAAACAATTTACACACATCCAGAGGACCGCTGTACTCTTCGTTACTGTAAATCATTGTATTAGGTATACCTGCTTTTTTTTGCGACTATTTATAAAGGACCAAGACCAAGATTATTGTCTTTTTTATTCCATCCTCAACAGACTGCAGGTACTTATCAAAACATTCGGCTGATAGCGCCTTAAACCTTTTGCGTTACAATGAAAATTGTTCGTAGTCAGTTATGTTATGATTTTTTTCCATTTAATCCACGCCTTTTCTTTATTTCTAAAAATATGTATTAAAGGGCGGGAAAACCATATAGGATAATCATTGGATTTTATAGGTCGCTGCGGCACATGCATTTTAACAATTTTATATATCGTTTCATAGAAGCATTGAGTAGCAGAATCTAATGAAATATCATTCAAAATTAAAGCCCAGTCAACAGAATTAATATCACTATTAATATCAGAATACTTTGCCTCAGTAAAACGATATCTAGGTTGAGAAGATCGAGCCATGGGCTTATGTAATAATCCAAAACAAACTAGCGTGCTAAAAGGCGGATGATAACTATCTATCGGCAAAAAAGGGTTAAGAATTGGCTTACAAACACATATTGTATCATTCGAAATTAATAAATCCAAAATACGGTCTAAGTGATTTCTTATATTGTTATATTGTTTACAGTTCATTGATGATAAAAAGTTAAACAAGAGGGTATCCATGGAGCTATTATTATTGTGTACTCTTGGCATAAGTGCATACGTATCGTATACAATCCATTCAACGTTTGCTTGCGTTTGCAGCTATGTTATAGTTTTAGTACGAATGGGTCGGCTCGACCGGGGAAGGACCACGCACACAACCGTAGACCCTTTTTAACTAGAAACGCGGCATTCCCTCTTAGTCCTCAGGGGTGGCAACGCATCTTCGTTTTGGTTCTTAATCGAGGATAAATGTAGATGTCTATGGGCCACAGCATCCACTAAACATCAGGCGGACTGTTTGCTCGTTTGTCACCCTTATTCTATAAAAAAAAAGTATTGCATGACCAGACCGTACATAAATAAAGCTCAAATTTAAAATATCGATGTGTATATGTCTATGATTTCCTGCGAACATTATCCACGTGTCATTACTATTAATTTTAAATAAAACCATGTCAAACAAATGTTTCTTTTATAATTTCAGATTTTCTAAATAAGCAGCATCATCGTTCATCGTCAAATCCATGGATACCAGATGATAACAATTAAATATGTCCTTCAGAAATTGCGTAAGTTTGACTTTTATGAATAAACTTTTATTTATATTATAAGCAAAACCATCTGTTATCATATTTATATATAAAATAAGCTGACATCTTTGCTGTATTACCTTCCCAAAATTCCGAGTCATTTTACAAGCATGTGCTCAGCAGTAAAACTCTCAAATGCTTTTTCGTGTTACTTTTTACAAATAGTAGTCATTGAGATATTATATTACTAGTAACCCTTTTAACTGAAGGTTATTTAATTAAGTAAAATAAAGTGATTGCAAAAAAATAACAGAATTCATTAATCTGTGAATTACCAACTAAAGTAGTTTTAAAGAGTTCTTGATTAAAAATATAGAGATCCATATTTCGCGGCAGACATAAGTTATAATCAAACTTTTAATAATTTACTTTTATTTAAACCGATTTTAAAACTAAAAGAAATTTAAAAATGTCCTTTAATCCATCTGAAGCCAGTAATACGGCGTAGAGCATTTAAAAATTACAAATAAAGCCCCGATTTCAGAATAAAATTCCACATTATAACTTCTGAAATCGGTGCGTAGACATAGCGCCTGATTTCCGATTTTATGCGAACTATTTTATATATATTTTTTTGAATTTGGAAGTCTCTTTTTACGTTTTGTTAATATTTTAACTATTTCACCCTTTAAAGCGGTTTAAGGGATATCGCAAACTGAAGGAACCAACTAAAGTGTAGGCTAAATAGGTGCATTAAAATCTTAATCCTTTAAATGAAGATTTTTCCACCATTAAGGATGATTTTTTTTAAATCATTATAGGATCCCTGGCATTATACCCTCGAAAAACGGGTACACATACAAAAGATAGTACCGATTTTTGAACTCAATTAAAAGCTTATAATGAACTTGCAGTGAAACCCAGCGTAGCCCGGATCAAAATACATCGTACGCTTAATTGTTATAAAATCAGTTTTTCTATCTTATATATGTACACTAATCTTTGTACCATTAAATGTATATTGTATATAGTGTATACGAAATCGTCTGATTAATTAACTTATTAAAGTAATTATTAATCAAATTTGAAAGTAGTTTGTTTAAATAAAAAAAAATATGTTTTACTGAATTCGCTGCACTCTTTCTCGATTTCCCGAAAGCCTTTGTTCTCGTTGTTCTTCTGTTTCATTTTTATGCGCTGCTTTTTACATCCAAGCATTTACATTAGATTGCATTGTAAATAATCTGTCCCTGCTGCTCAGGCATTTTTATTTAATATTTTAATTTATTTTTTAACTACTTATGATCCTGACGTCATTCACTTGTTAATTTTCTGATCGATCTGAACTCTGCGTGGAATGACTTTATGTATATTCCGGAATATTCACTCTTCAAGATTAATTTTAAGCACGTATACTACGTGCTCAAAAATTTATTATCACTTGAGAGTGGCTGAAATCCATTGTCCAAAGAACTTTGACTCCCGCTTATATTATACTGTCAGCAATCTAAATTTCTAGTGCCAAAACTATTTAGAATGCAAAAAGTCGTTGAAACTCTACATGAATTCCACGTTATGTATAATCAAGAATAGAAATTTCGAGATTATTGTCTCTTCCAAAGCACCTAAAATCGTTTTTGAATAATTTTGAACATTTAAATAATCTAGAATACTTATGATCTACAATATAATTATTTTTAATCATTTTTTGTGTTTGGATATATGACGAATTCCCTAGATCATTCATGAAATGATATTATACGTTGTAAAGCCGTACTGCAGCTATATTAGTAGTATAGTTGTGGCATGAATGGGTCGGCTCGACCGGAGAGGTGCCACTCTCTCACAGAATACCAGCGTAAAATAGCATCTTAAGGCTGCTGTGTTTCGTATGGTGAGTGTAGAGAACCAAAGACCCTATTTACTGGAAAGGAGGCATTCCATCTTAGTCCTCACGGGTGACAACGCATTTGCATTTTGATTCGTAGTTGAGGATAGATGTAGATGTTTATGGACAACAGCAACCACTTACCATCAGGTGGACTGTGTGTTCGTTTGTCACTCTTCTCCTATAAAAAATCTGTTTTATTCGATTTTAAACATTGAAAATCAATTGATAGAATCAGGCGTTACTTTGCGGAAATCCATTATAATAAAAATTAAAAATATAAATTTCTTCGCAACCTTCCGCCAAACAAATACAATGATGTGTCTTACCTGGATTGAAGAGCACCTCCCGCCCTCCCTCAATTGCATGCACTAGCTCCGTCACCACTAATCCCAGTACCACTACTCCCAACACCACTATTCCAGGCAAGACACACCATCGACGATAATACGACACGTGTTTCGCTTCTACACGAGGCATCTTCAGGTAATGTAGACTCTACGGCGGCTGACCGCTAAGTCAATCTCTTGCTCTTCAATCCGGGTAAGACACATCATTGTATATGTATTTTTATTTTTTATTGAAAATCAATTTTAATTATTTTTATTATTTTAAAAAGTTTAAAATGATCTTAAGCATTTTAGATCCTCTACGACCATTTGCAAATATTTTTGAACATTTAAATATAATTTATAATTTTTTAGAATATTTTAGAAATTTTTAAAATCATCTAGAACGTTCTAATATGTCTAAAATTATTTTTAATAATGAACATTTCAGTATATATCAGAGATTTCCCGATTAATCTAGAAATATTTAGAATATTATAGATCGATAACAATTATTCTTAATTAATGATTTTCAATGTTTAAATATGTGATGGAATTTCGTATATCATTCGTGGAATTTTGAGAACAATGTAGAACATCCTGGATAAACTACAATCACTCTTTTTCATAGTTCCTTTTAAAAATTGTAAAATATCCTAGAATATACTAGAACATTCCGGAAATTCTGAAACATTGTAGAAAAGCTCTAGATATTATAACGCACAAACGTAATTTACGCCATTCACTACAGGCGGTGAACCGGCATGAAACACTGTCCCGCTCTGCTGAGCACGCCAAGCTTTTTAGAGGCTTATTTGGCGTTTTCTTCCAAGTGACCACGAAACTGCACGTCACTCGATATGTCAACGCCGAGGATTCCAATACTGGCTGAAGCAACAAGGAGAGGGTCTTGAAACTGAGGAGATACGATGAAGGGGTTTTTTTTGCGGTAAACGCGCAAACTTGTGTCTTCTGGAAATTAAACTAGACTAGATTTAGTCGCCCCCAGTCCGAGACTTTGGTCAACAAAGTTTCGACTTCAGACACAAGTTTGTCCCGGTACCCTGCGACGTTTTCCCGAGAAATATTGGCACGGCCGGTGTGTAAAGCATCACCAGTGCTGTCGTCTGCATAGCAACGAATTTTACCGGCTTGCAACATGTCATTGATATGCAGAAGAAACAGCGTCGTAGATAGCACGCAGCCTTGTGGAACACCAGCGTTAATGGGCATGTAATCGGAACATGCACCGTCTACTACGACCTTGATGCTCCAATCAGCAAGAAAAGTGGTGACCCAATTGCACAATTTCTCGGGAAGCCCGTAGGATAGGTAGAAGAAACGCTTTGTGCCAATAACGATCGAAGTCTTTCGCTATGTCCAATCTAACGGCCAACTCCTCCCCCTTGGACTCTACTGCCTCCGCCCATTTATGAGTTAGGTAACCCAGAAGATCACCAGCCGAGCGACCGCGACTAAAACCGTACTGGTGGTCACTAATCAGATGGTGATCTTCAAGGTATCGCATAAGGTGGCAGTTAATAATGGATTCCATTATTGTAGAGAACAAGGAGGTGGTGACGATAGGCCTAGAGTTGGACAAATCAGAGCGGTTACCTTTTTTAGGGATCGGGTGCACGAAGGCTGTCTTCCATGATTTCGGCACTACGCCGAAGGAGTAGGAGTGCCGGAAAAGACGCGTTAAAACCGGTGTCAACTCCAGAGCACACGTCTTCAGCACAATAGGAGGTACGCCATCCGGCCCACTCGACTTGTTGACGTCCAGGGAGAGGAGTGCTCTGCGCACTGAGCATTGGGTAAACAGCACATCCTGCATGGAGCACTCACTCAGCGGGCGGCGATGTGTTCCCCCCGTCAATATAATCATAGGTTATAATACATAAAAATAATATTATATATATATATATATATATATATATATATAATATTAGGTTTAGTAATAAGATAATTCACTGTTACTTACTCTTTCATTTGTTTGTAAGAAATAAAAAGGCTTTTATATTTATATAATATATATATATATATATATATATATATATATATATATATTTTTTTTTTAAGTGACTGTCACCTCAGTCCCCCGTGACAATGGGTGCTGGAAAGCACCCGAAAAGTCGGGAATTAAAAATCATTTAAAATCAAACACGATAAAATCCGAAAAAGTAGTTTTAATCAATAAGGTCGTTGTATCTTATGTAGTCAAGTTGACACTATTTCAAGTGACTGAAACAATAAATCGTGGGTGTCGTAAGAGGCGACAGAGGGAAACAAATCAGGAGATGGGCAGCAGCTTAAAAAACTGCGGGTGCCAACCCGCTTTCCAAGCGAGGCGACTACAGCAAATATTCCCCCTATGATCCAATCTAATGGGGAAACCTGTATAATGTACATCCGTGAACTTTAAGACTTTGAAGGTAACGCGGTAATTCAATAAAGGATATGGTACTATTCCTTTTATTTATTTAGAAAAATAGCCGAAATATTTCTTTTTTTTTAAAGTCGTATCTGTAGTTCCAATATTTTCTGCAGCAAACAAGTCTAGGGGCCTAAATAAAGGATGCTGAAACAAAATTAATAATATTTAAATTTTTTATCTCTCTGCCTGTGAAATTACCATAGAAATCGTAGTAATATTATTATTACTATTTCTATGGAAATTACGAACAGATTTCCGTTTGGTACGTAGGTAATTGACATGAGGCATATACGAAACTTTTTATCCAACTACGGAAGTGCAAAAGACGGTAATGTCTTTTTCTTTAGATGTTTATTTTTAAAATAGATGCTGATGAGTCGATAAC